CAACATAGTATATTCCTCTATTAATCTGTAATCTATGCTTTGTTAACTTATAAGTTGTTTCATTCCATGAGTGTTTGATGTGATATACCATGTATGCCTTGATTTTAATTAAAAGAGTTTGATTTTGAACTCAAAACTTGATTTAATTTAAGTTATTTATGTAATTATTTTTAAGAGTTAAAATTTAATAGAGTTGAGTTCAAATCTTAATATTTATAATAAATTTTTTATTTTGCAATATATTTTTTAAAAATTTAATTTTTTCCCTAAATTACCTTTTTATTTTGCCCTTTTTTTTTTTTTTTAAGCAATTCAAATGTTAACCGTCGAGTAAGCCAATCCTGCCAAATTTTAAATACAAAAATAAAAAAGCGTAAAAGGGGCGAAAGAAAGACAGGCCGAAGCGAGCAGTCAAAAAGTGTAGTTATTGGGCTAGGTACGCAATTTTCAATCAAAAAGATCTGAAAAGGCCCAAAACTAAGAGTATTCAGATTGGATCTTCTTCTTCTGGATTGGCCTCTCAAATTCCTGTAAATGAAACCCAATCACTAGGTCATTTTCAGTAGTTGGTTACTCTTCCAGGATCGCTTGCTGTTCTTCACCAGAATCACCACCGTTCCATCGTCGCTGTTCCCGCCTCGTTGCTCCGGTTTTTCTCTAACTTCACTCCTTTACCTCACCTCTTCTTTTTCCCCTTTCGTCACGCAATTTCTTTTTCTCGTTTAATTACAGTTTAATCCACCAATTTTTGTTTTTTTTATTTCATGAACTTTCAATAATTGATTAAATCCTAATTCCTGTTTCAGTTGAATGAATATTTGGATTGGGGAACATATTTTTATTATGTAGCTTAAAATTCAGCAATTTTATTTTATTTTCTTGTAATAATTGCTTTTATTGGTTTTTGTTTAAGTCATTTCTTAATTGATCATTGCTTGTATATGGAGGAAGATAATGACATGTCGAATTGCTGATGAATTATTGCTTGAGGGTTATCATTTTTTATGTTGATATTCTACTAAATTTTGAAACTTTTGTGTACTTTTTCTCTCTCTCTCTCTCTCTCAAAAAAAAAAAAAAAGAACTTATTTTTAGGTTGCTGGTGTGGGGAAAGAGGTGAAATTATGTTTAATTTTTGATAAGTTAAACTTTATTATGATAAAAAAAAGGTGAAGCAACAAACAAGAAGCAGTGATTAAACCAATTCAAACAACTAACAGAAAGATGAATAAGTTGCATCGAAAATCGTAACTAAATATCTTGTTTACTAAAGGATGAATTTGTTTAGCTGTCTATCTAACATTTGTAAATCTTAGTGCTGATGATTTGTTGATGTTTTCTGTCTATATGGGGAGATGATTAGGACAGATAATGACTGCTGATAAATGGTGTAGTTTAATATGATAGTGTGGTCCGGTGGTTCATAAGCATACACCTTGGTAGGGACAGACGAGGTTTTGACAAAAATTTACCGCTATAGAATGAGTGTACCCAGCATGTGGCCTTTAAATGGCCTTGGTAGATTTTGATTGGGACTTGCTTTTGAACTGTATATAGCCTTTCTCTTGGTTATGACAACATTGGAAAGCTAGTAGAAGAGAAATTCCTTTCTTGATTAATCGGCTTCTCATACACGTGGTTTGATCTTGATATATTGTCCCTTACATCGACATTTCCTTGTGAAAGATTTGATGGGTTGCTACTAATATATCTACTTCAGAAGATTTATGTGTCCTTTACCCCAAATACTTCGAGATTAGGTCTGGTGAATTGCACTCTTGTTTTCTATACTCAGGTCATTGTGAACTCATTGTTTTCACTTTCAAACACAAGTAGAACCACGTTATTCCCTTCTTTTTCCTATTACAGATTGTTATTTTTTTACTGCATTAGGTCTTTTCAAAGTGCTAAATTGATGCTTGCTTTTATACCAATATTTGAAGTATTGAAAGATTGTGGGTTCACATTAGAACAATGATGTGTATAGCATGCCTGCCATTTCTATAGTTTTTTCTTGAGTAATTTTGCCTTCACGTCATTGGTGTGATTTTTACATTCTTCTAACAGGGAAACAAATAATCAAATGCCTCTTTTAATTGGTCTGTTATAGCCTCCCAACCCTCCCCCCCTTCGCTTTGAACTGTGTAAGTCATCCTCCTTTTATCAGATTTCTGAGTTAACCAAGAGGGAACAGGTTACACATCTCTGTCTCTAGCTCTGCCTGTGGCTGTGTGTGCAGAAAAAAAGGTGAAGTGAGAGTGGGTGGAAAGAAGTAATTATTTTTTAATAAGTTTCTGATAAGAATTAAAATCTTTCTGAGACTTGATAGATGCTAGCAAACTAAGATTCTTAACTCAACTTACATAAATTCGATCAATTTGACTATTGCTGTTCTTACTCCTGGCTCCTCTTCTATGACTGGTGTTCCATGATTCCGAAGTTGTCTAATATTTAAACACATTTTATCTTCATAGGTATTTTATGCAAGAATGTCATTTATCATCTGTTGATATCTCTTAAAAAGGGAGAAAAACCGAAAAACTTGAATTACTAATGGGAAAAGTGTTACATTTGTAAAAACACTATCCTGAATGGTTTGTTTTTGTTGCGTACTTTACATGTTACTATCTCCCATTACAATGTGTATAGTCCTTTTGATTGGACTGAAAGCTCATGAAACCTGACATCTCTGTTTGATTCCATTTGCTTTGTGGTGTATATCCATCCTCGTATGGTTTCTGTCATTTTCTTGAGAATGTCCTCTACTGTAAATTTTCATCTCATGCTACATTGCCACTAATCAGTTGCTGCAGCATTTCGTTACGAAGAAGCAAGTATACTAGAATGCCTCGTGCATTTCAGGTGAAAGAAAATGTTTTGTACGTTTCTGTTGAACATGACAAGCTTTGACAAAAGCTGTCTTGTGCTGCATGTGGGGTGAAGCAATGTAAATTTTCCTCATGTAATTTGTTTCAATACTAACAGCAACTTATGTCTATCAACGTTGCACACTCTGTAAAACTATGAATTTTATACTAAATTTGTGTAGTCCCATTGGACCGACATAATATTTTATCCCTTTCCTTAAATATTAAACTAAACTATTTTGATATCTATTGCAAAGACTGTTGAAGCTACAGTCTTCATATGAATTACAAAGCATTTTCTGTATAGCATCATATCATACAGGTGAAGAATTGTTCTTCTTATGATGTGAACATTTGTTGGTGGGGATGCACTATCTGCCTTTAGTTCATTGGTGAATAATTTTAAAAAGGGGTCTCCACTTCTTCTGGATATTGGTGGGTGAAGGGTAGCATTTGAAGTTGGTTTGTACCAGGATGACAACCTGGTTATGGTGGCGTCACATGTGTATCTTTCCTGCCTTTAGTTTAAGAGCAATTCCTACAGCAATATTATTTCAAGAGGATAGAAATAATCATGGCTCATAGAATAACCTTTTTCTTCCCCCTGGAGTACCGAAATATGTAAAGTGGCCATTGGCCCATTTTCTGGAGCCAAAACAATAATGAAAAAGTAGAAGAGAAGTATGCTAGAGACTAAACAAAGTGGGCAGGCCATACAATCGGGCAGGGTTTTTTTTTTTCTTTTTTAGGCCTTTACATCTTTTAAATGTTAAGGTAGGGATGACCTTATTAAAGTCTGCCCCATTTTTCTTTTGTTTGGTTTGGGGTTTCCTTTTCATTCAAAAGTCAAGATTCTGATTGGATGACAGTTGGACAAACAACAGCGGCAGATTTTCACAAATAAGAACAGATGGAAATCAGCCGTCCATCACAATTTTAAGCAACATCCAAAAAAAAAAAAGGTTAATTTTTTTACTTATGAAAAACTTAAAAAATAAATTTATAATAAAAATAATTTTATATTTTTTTAAAATTAAATGTTAAGTACTAAATTTTTTATAAAAAGAAAAGATGATTTTATAAGGATTTTATATCAATAAAAATTAAAAGAAAATAATAAATGATTCAAAGAAAAAAATATTATTGTAATTAAATAAAAATTTTAAGTAACTTTTAGTTATTTAAAGATTCTCAATATTTTATTTAAAAAAAAAAAGATACTCAATATTTTTTTATTGAAAATTTTTCATTAAGTGACTTTTAGAATTAAATTATCATCATTAAAAATTAAATCAAATAAACTCTAAGTGCTTCTCATTGAACTTAAGAAATTAAATATATAATATGTTTTTCAGTAATATTTTTATTAGTAATAATACATCTTAAATCATTCACATGTAAAGAGGAAAGACTAATATTATATAAAAAAGAAAAAAGAAAGAAAAAGAAAAAGAAAAACCCACTCACCGCTCACCTTTCATCACCTATCAACTTCCACCAAACAGACCCTTTCGTAAGCCACCACCATTCGTGACGGTGACATCCTCCCTCTCTGCTGATCCTAAGCACCACTCTCTCTCTTTGTGAGGTTTCTCTTTAATTTGGCTGTGTTTTTGTGGTGTCCACAAGCAAAGTCGTAAGTACACGTACTTGGTTTTCTCAAACCCAAAGATGTCTCAACCCTTATCTCCTTATCGACTTGGTTTGGTTTGAGCAACTAAAATATGGAGACACAAGAAGCTGGGAGGCCATCGCCATTGTTTTTCTTTTCCATATCTATCCTCTCTGATCTCACATCTCTCCAATTTCCAAATCTTTTTTCATCATAATTCTTATAAAATATACAGATATACATATATATAAGGAAATATATAGTATAAAATAACCAAAACAAAGGGCAAAGCTGATGAAGAAATTAGAGTAATCACTAACTCAGCTAAACTCTCGGTTTCATCACTATCCATGTTACAAGCCAAAAACTAAACTTGTATTCCCAACTAAAAACATGACCTTATCAAACAGAATCAATCCATTTTTTATTGATTCTACTCTTGGGGCACTTGCTATTCGATGAGAGAATCAAAAGACATAAGAAAAAAAGGGGTGGTACCTATGAACAGTTGTTGATTTTCGATTTTTTTTTGGGGGGGGGGGTTTAAGATCATCATCACTTTTATATCGTTTCAATCTTCATCAGAACTTTCAGGGTACTTGTTTAAATCAGGCTTCGAGAAAACTCGACCAGGGTTTGATGATTCTGATGAAGAAGCCTGATGATGAACCGAGGTTTGTAAAGCGTCGACTTTGGCCCCAACCTCGGTTGCTTTCTTGCGTATGGAAGCGGCTGAGATGTCCCTAAGGTCGTCTTCTTGTAATATGAGGTCAGGGAAGTTGAGCCTGGCGGAAGGTCCACGCAAGTAGAAAACAGCGGTGTCATAGGCACGAGCAGCAGCTATAGGGGTGGTGTAAGAACCGAGCCAAATCCTAGACCTCTTGTTTGGTTCTCTGATTTCAGCAACCCACTTCCCCCACTTCCTCATCCTTATCCCTCGGAATGGTTTCTCTTTTTGCTGTTGCCTTTTCACCTTTCGCTTCTCCCCGCTTGTTGAACTTGAAGTTGAACAACAATCACCTTCCATCATACAAAAAAGAAATCCTAAAACCCAAATTAATAAGTATCCTAAAGGAACTAAACTTATAAACCCTTTTGTGACAATTTTGTCCCCTTGTTTCTTGAGACTATAACTTGTAAGCCATAACAAAAACAAGAAGAAGAAGAAAAAGAAAAGATTCTAGCTATGTTTAATCAAAGAATACCCTTTCCTTCAAAAGCTATTCTCTCTATTATATAAATAGAAAAAGGATGTATAGTTCTGGTATATATGAAGTGGCAAGAAGCATTTAGTTTCCCACTTGGCTGCTAGTCTGTCGTCTGGGCACGGCCGCCACGTTGATCTTCCGTAAAGATAAATCCAAACTTGGCCGACATAATCCATCAGCTCCATCTCTCTTTCTACGGACCCTAAAAAATATATAGGTAAAACTTTGTATACACCCTTATAATTTGCGAATTTTTATTTTTATTTTATAATTTATTTTATATAATTTTATAATTCATTTTCGTTGTTAAAAATGATAAAAACACTAAAAATTAAGCAAATTTTAATAAAATAATAAATTATTTTCACTTATTTTTTTAATGTTGGTATTCTTTCTGCTAACGGAAGTGAATATTATAAATAAAAAATTTTATAAAAAATGTAAATAAGAAAATTGTAAATTATAAAAAAGTGTACGAAAAATTTACCCAATAACTATATAAAGTAGTAGTAATGCAATATAGACAAGCACGATCTTTTTCTGTTGGTGAGTAATGAGTATGAAAGGGTGTTTGGTAATTTCACTAAACCAAAAAACTCACGTAGCGGCTTATAAGCATGTGACCCGCCGACGTGGTTATGCTCCCAGCACGCAAAGTAACTTCCAAGTTTATTTCTAGGTAATTTCATTTTTTTTTGTCTTTTTTTAATAAAATTGATTAAATAATAATTAAATTTTAAAAAATCAAATTAATTTATTATAAATTTATGTGAAAATTTTGAAAAATATTTAATAAATTTTGATATTTTAGATGGATATTTTTTGTTTAAAAGTTTAATAAAATTTTTATTATCAAATAAATATTAATCAAATTTAAATCATAAATAAAGTTTTTAATATTTTAATATTTTATTAATTTTTATTAAACTCTATTAATTTATCAATTTAAAATTTTATTTAATTATTTTTAATAAAAATTTCATGAATTTCATAAAAAAATTTTTATCTATGTCCGAATATATTTTAAGGAAACATTAATAAATATTTAGAGTGTGGATTCAATGGTCATAAAAAAAAAAAAAACTATATATTGAACACCCAAAATAATTTAGCACTAGTTCATTAAACTCTATATATAAGCTATAAGGTTGTTAATTAATATATTTATAAAGGAAAATTAAAAAAAAAAAAAAGAGAGAGAGAGAGTGAAAGAAAGCTGCTTTTTGTCTAACTGAAATAACTGGCTGTTACATTGTTGGTCATGAGGATAATAACGGGTCGAGCTTTGTAGCTAGTTAGGCAAGTGGGATCCGAGTTGAGAAGAGAAAGAAAGAAAGAAAGAGAAAATGATAACAAATCTAAGTTGGAGAAGAGAAGAGAAAGATGAGGGAAGTGGGTGGTGGATGGGTGGATGGGGATTGAGAGTGACTTTCCGTCCACGCAATGAAGATCAATACCTTCCCAAGCAGTTGAAGATTGAAACACCAAATTGATTAATTATTATTTGTGGCATTAAGTAACTATAATATCTCCTGTATGGTTCAAACTTATTGAAACTGACTTTTTTTTTTTTTTTGGTCCAACTTCAATCATCATCATCTGATTATAAATTTAGACTTTTTTTTTCCCTTGAAGATTGGTGTCATTTCCGCATTAATTCTCAGTGCTTAATGCATGATTTTCATGTTGTAGAGTTTCTTCGATGGTTCCTTGAGTTTTACTTTGTATTAAAAGGCCTACTTACCCAGTCATTTCTATTATTGATTATTACTTCAAATGTATGGTCGATGCGAAAGAATTTTTACTTAGTATCCTTTCTTCATTTCTATTTTTAGGTGACACTCTAATATCAAATTAAAGAATATAGATTTGCTTGATTAAATTAAAACTTTATTCATTATTTTGGAGCTTGATTGGTTTTATATCAAATATCATCATTTTGAAAAAAAATTTTATTTTTTTTAATTTATATTTACATAAGCTTTCTCTTTTTTTTTTTTTAAATGTTATCCTTTTGTTTTTAAGTTTTTTAGGGTATTTACTTTATTTGGTTTTTTAAATTAATATAGTTAAATTATTTTATTAGTATTTTCAGAGATTGAGTTTGAAGTCTGAATTTTAAATTTATTATATACTTTTTAAATATAAATTTTTTTCACACTTATTATATTGTATTATATATTTTAATTTTTTAAATATAAAATTTTATTATATATCATATAATAGATTAAATTTTACAAATATTTATATTTTTAAATATTTTTATTAATTTAACAATTGATCCGATTGATCCAATAATTTAATCAATAATCTAATGATCTAACATCTTGAATGATTTATTACTCGATTCGATTCTGATAATTATGATAAAATCGCTTTTTAACTAGCTTGAAATGAAGTATATGATAACACACATTGGGCTGCAAATTCGCACCGTCTTGAATTACGAAAACAAAAACGAATTAAACTATAAGAAACAAAGAATGGAATCAGCTAGATTGGGACCAAACTCAAAATTTTCTGCTAAAGGTCGGCACCGTTAGCTTCTTCTAATTGGCTTCTACTACCCTTTTCGCCGTTGAATCTCACATAATCAAAGAGTGCTGCTGCTACCTTCATCCTTTTTAATAGATTTTATTACCAAAGATAGGATTACAGATTAATCTTCCATATAAAACATATTTTTTAATTAAAAAGAAAATACGTAGCCACTTTTAGTCTTTCACCGAAAGGAGAATGTTTTATATATTTAGTCGGCCAACAATTTAAATACCTTTCTTTGGATGTTGCAATGCAATACTAATATGGAGAATTCTTTTTTTTTTCTTTTTCTTTTTTTTTTGTTGCCAAATTTAATATATAATAGCAGTCCAAACAAATCTCATCAATGTAGCATTTGTATTTGTGCATCATTATCTTATAAAAAGAACAAGTGATTTGTTGAAAATTGGCTAGTTGTTTGTATATCAACCTTTCTTATTGCTTTCAAATTATTTTAACTCTAAAAAATTATCTTATCATTCATATAATTATAGAATGTTTAATACTAGTAGCAGTTGATTTTGTTCTAAAAATCTATCAAAACAATAAATTGTGGAGTGAAAAAAAATCAATGATTTTTTTTTTTTTTGGGATTACTAAAAATTGAACCTTGATGATTTTGTTAAACCAATGTAAACATACTATTTCAAAATTGAATTTAATCATCTCCTATTCCTCTTCTTTCGATATTCTCTTCTGTTAATCTTAACACCCTGTAAGCCATGAATAAAAGGCATAGCCTCATAGGCTTTGTCAATATCTCATACCAAAAAATGAAAAAATTTTCCTGATCATACCACACATACGACATCGACCTGTCACTTGGAAATTAAAAAAGAAATAATAATAAGAATAAATATATTCAACATGACAGATGACCTTTTATTCTTTAATCTAGTAGTAGGATAACCACTAAAATCAATCTTTAGGTATTGATCCCAATCTTATCCTTAAATTCTATTATATTAAAAACCACCCTAACAGCTTCTACTTTTTGGTTCTGATATAGAGAGCAAAGCAGAGCAGAGCAGCAACCTTTGGCAGCTGTGTTGGTCCTACAAAAAGACAGCTCTTCGGGCAAATCTGTCTAAAGACTGACTTCCATCATGGAGTTTACAAGAATAAGAACTATATTCAGAGAGGACAACCTTGATCTTGAAACAGAACCAGAGATCAATCTCAGAATAATTCAGCCTGACTGCCTGAAAAATCATGCTAGAGGACAAATCTTGACAGCCAGGTTCTTCTATTGGTAGTTGATCAGTAGAAGTCTGAGGCCTAATCCTATAGCTTCATGGTAAAGGAGGCTGGGGAGATTCCATGATAATGTCCCACTTTGCCATGATATTACACTCTATGATTGGGCACTAGACCAGTTAATCCTTCAAAGCTCGTATTGATGCCCACAACAAAGCCGTCAAATCAAGATTATATATCAAGAATATTAGAATTAAACGTTCTTAACTTGTGCTGCTTTAAATAAAAAGTTGCTAGGTTTATTTTATGTTCTGTTTGATTTTAAGTATCGAAGGGAACGAAGCACCTAAAAAGTTTTCCAATCCCCAGTTGTTTCAACCAATCTTAACCGCATACAAATCTTATTACAGGCCTTAATCCTCTCAAAATTATCATCCCTATGATCTCAATTGATACAATAATAGAGTCTAGACCTAATTTCTTGCTTCGATAAAATAACCATCAAGTTGTCGTCACCCCCCCCCCCCCCTTACCTCTCGTCCTACGTCACCCATGATTGTAGGAACTTCTCTGAATCATTGGACCTGACCTTAATACCATCAATCGGATGGCTGAATGTTCATGATCCACTAAGCCTGAAAAGGACTTTTGCCGGTCAGGGGTCATGAACTCCTGGAATTAGTGCATCAAAAGGAATTTAGAGCAATCTACTTATCCAGGATCAATTAGGACAACGGCCTGTAAAGGCCACCAGATATCACTGAAATTCCATGATATTGAGCTGAGACAACGCAGGTTATGACAATGAATATCAAAGCACAATTACAAAACAACTAAAAATTTTTGACAATGAAATCAAAGCACAATTCGAAAACAATTAAAGATTTCTGACTATCGCGCTTGTATTCCTTGCTTAAAGAGCGAGTTCAAATCCCCCCTCCCCCAAAAAAAAAAAAATTTTCTAACTAGCAAGTCTTCCTGTTTCCTTTGTTCTTCTATCTTCGTAATTAAACAGTACAAAATTTTCATCCCATTAATTGCCATTTTCCCTCATTCGCTGCTTCTCATAAGACGAATTTCAGCACAAATTTACCATAAAACCTTTCTATTTATTTAACACTCCACTTCCCCTTCCTGCTTCTCTATTGCATCTTAATGCACACTGCCAGAATTGTAGTCGACAGCTCTTTCTGCACATGACAATAGTGACAAGCACTCATGCCCCTCCAAGAACAATTAAGAGATAAATCAATCAAGAATCAACATCCTCTTATTCTCAAAACCTCTCTTTTTCATT